AAAAATATAACCGTGCTGGTTTATTCAAAGAGTCACAGGCAAGAATTAACATTACATTTCCAGAGATCTTCCAACCCCCAGGCTGCCCAAGCAGCCCGGAAGCAGAAAAGCCCCCGAACCTAGAATTGCTATACAATATCATCACTTAGTTGGCTCGCCCCCTCCTCCACAGAAACGTCAACCGAGACGTCTCTCTCTCACCAGCTTTGCAGCTGGCTCTGGCAGTAGTCACAACATGAAGAAAATAATGTGTGTGAATGTTGATTATGTGGGGTGTATCTAAAAACACTGTAACACAACAATTCACATTAAGACAAATATTATGGTCACTTTTACCGTCATAATAACATTTATCCCTGACTGCAGCCTTTCTCTGCTTTAACTAACCTTGCATTTAACAGCCTGAGGAAGACATCCTGGCTACACTAACATTCTTCTAATACAACAGATCTCTAATCAATATCTATCTAACTAAGAAATTACCTAACACAACTCTCGCCGAAAATGGGCTATAACGACTCAGTCGTTAAAGGACATTGTTGGCCTTCAAAGGACTGAAACACCACCGAGGGGGATAAATATCTCCGGCTCAACACCAGTCAGTCAGAACTGATGAAGCCTCTTGGATGAGAGGTGAAACGTCTTCGACCTAGAAATCTAGTCCAGTTGATTTTTTTCTAAGTTTTTTTCAGCATAACTTACAAAGGATTTAAAAGCTGTAATTAATGGCTTTATTCGTGTTATTGACTAATATTGCTTTATTGCATTGCATCGTAACGATAACTAGTTAGCTACCTGTTTGTAATCCAGCGACCATCCCAGCGTTTCAAATATATGGTTTAGTTGTTCTTTGCAGTTTTCAGTGAACTGTCTCAGCTCCTGCAGACGATTCAGTCGATCCTCAAGAGTCTGTGTTACGAGTGCGTCCGACATTTTAAGGTTTTGTGTCCAAATTAACCTAGAACTTGCCCCGAAATCATAAGCGTTTCATTTACACGCTAGTCACCTCGGCCATATTCTTACGACGTAATGACGTATGTCGGCGTTGTGCTAGGAGGCCTCATCATTTCTCCTGTGCGCTTAGCGTTCGATGCGATGGTCATCGTCACAGTATAAAGTGTCACCAACATTATTGTTACGTAAATTAATCCCATGCTATAACCGAATGCGACTGTATTTTCATAAACGAGCGTTGCGAAAACTAAAAGCATTATTATCAAGCTCGAATGAGAAAGTGCGGTGGTTTTGCTTTAAGGATAACGATTACGTCGGGAGGTCAATCGGTGGCATAACACCGGTCGTTGGCGGGAGAACCGTGTGTGGTACTGGAAATTTTACTTAAATGAATATATTTTAGCTCACCGCTAAATTAAACTTACTGCATGCACAAGTTGTTATTGGATTGTTTTTGTTGTTGAGCGTAGCTTTTATTTTTGTAGGTCGTGCTCTTCCTCCTATTGGTCGATTATAGGTCATGTGGTCTCTCGCTACCAACCAATCAGAATGTAGCGGTTGGGCCACTGAGGAAATTGCATAATTGACGAGCTACCTGAATGCGTCACATACGTTTATATTTGTTTAATCTCTCTGCCCTGACTGTTTGTGCCGAGATAATTAACATTCAGTTCCGCCTCTGTGCTCCAGGCTAATACGCTACACTTAATAGCGTCACTTTGCCTCATTTTTGCCGTTTGTGTCCAGCGGAAGACACGCCCTCTGAGTTTAACCAGGAAGATCTCCTCGTTCTGCTGGTTTTGTCATAAATATGGCATTTTCCGGATACGGCGCTGGTCCCGGTGGTGCCCCGGTAAGAAACCGCCGTGACATATCGGCTAATAGCTGAATATGTCCATCGGCCACCTCCCCGGGTGGTATCCTGTCAAACACTAAGGAAATTGGTCGAAATAGCTGAAGTGATACGTTTTGTTGTCCAGACTGCACATAGCTCTGGTGAAGGTGTGGCGTTAGTTAACTGTTCTTTAATTGCTCCCACAAACATTTAGATGATACACTTTTCTAGTGTTGGAAAGTAACTAACACGGTCAGGTAGGCAATTAACGTAACAATTGTGGGGTACTCGTAGTCTACTCTTCTTAAGTATTTCTATTTTAGCTACTTTACACTTATACTCTTCTAGGATAAAAGTTAGAGGCAAATATACTTTTAACTGCTATTTTCTTGGCAGATTTAGATTAATAATACAAAATGTAGGTCAACAAATACATTGTGATGTTTTATTATCGTATTATAATAGGTGAATGGAGAGCAGAACACTATAATATACATCACTCTGAAATGTGACATTATGCATAATGAGCACTTTAAGTATATTTTAATGCTAATACCTTTGTACTTTTACTAGGAGCTTTACTTCTAACGGCATATTTTTTTTGATGCAACAGCTGATTGTTATCTGACTGTACGTTGACACTGTGCATTTCTCTTCTTCTGTTGTTTTCTGAACTGAGACAGGATGGACACATCTCAGCAGATGAGCTGCAGCGCTGCCTCACACAGGCTGGCATCACACTTTAAATATTGACTTTAGTGGAAATATCAGTACTAGAATGTAACATAATCCATAACAGGTAATATTCCTGCATGCAAAAGTACACAAGTATTATCATCAAAATGCACTCAAAGTACTAGAATGAGAGATATTTTTGTGCAGACAAGTGTCTACATCGATTATTATTTACATAGCTTTATGGACCTGATGTCACTGATGGATTAAAGGATAAGTTGTTTATGTTCAAGCCTGTTGTTAAACAATAGTCCAGTGCTCGTAGTCTATAAAAACATAAAAAGATGTTTACCTGCTCCAGTCATTCACCCTCTCTATTTGTGTAACTGAGACAGCCTGAACTTTGTACTAGCTTCAGATGGATTTACAGTGCATTACTGCACCAAATGAGGACAATGGATTTTGACCCCCTGTTTCTTTTACATTGAAACTGTTAAAACAAACCTTTTATCTTTCAACAACCAGTATGAACAGGAGGAAGTATTACAGCAAGCAAACTGGCTCATAGTGATGCTAATGGGCACTGGTCTAAGTCAGGTTCGGAAAATTGTGAACTTATCCTTTAATATGTACACAAAATTTTACTGCTGGAAGGAGGTTATAGAGCTAATTTTAAGTAAATTACACCATATACTAAACTAAATAATTTTGAATATAATTTGATTTTTTTTTTGTAAAATCTTAATCTGTGAAAAAAGTAAAGCTGTCCAACAAATATTGTGGGGTGAAAAGCATGAAATTTCCCTTGTGAAGATATGTGAAAGCATAGCATAATACTGAAATACACAACCATAGAACATCAAAACCACTTTGTAAACTCCTGTTGCTCTTGAAACCAGATGTTGTAATGAGGAAAGGTGCAGTTCCTCCTTTTCAAGGCTCAAGAAGCACACACACACTCACACATTAGACACTAATAATCATTTAACGTCTTTGCTGTGCTCCATACAAACACACTCACGGGCACACTAAGTATTGCTGTGCTCCATACAAACACACTCACTGGGCACGCTAGGTGGACTATGTGAAGCATGCAGGCTGCTGGCAGTGATTGTGCAGGAGTGAACAGGAGCTTCGTCCTGATGTATAACATGTATGAGGTTTATTTGACGCAAGGTAAATGAGTCAAATGCAGCACAACAATAGACTGAGACACACAAACATTTTGCCACCCTGCATTTAGTTAACAGGAAAGAGTAAACTGTGAGAATACAAAAGGGCAACAACGCCTCATGAACACTGTCTCAACATTTTAACTCGTTTTGCTGAAACATGATGAGACTGTGTGCAGGAAGCTTTGCCCATTCTGTCTCTAGAGTCATGTTAGTTTCCTCGCTAATGCAAAGTAGATGTGCAAGAACTTCATAGTTTTGGTCAGGATGTACACTGACTACGTGTCGCTACTGACGGTGCTCTTTCTTTCGAGACATTGAGTGTGTGAAACAGCCAGTTAGGTTTTATCTTGTAAATTCTGCAGCGTCATTTAAGTGTCTTCTGAAAGCCTGTTGGAAAAATGTACACTGAGCTTGAACTAACAAATGTTACTTTTTCTAATTAAAAGATTTATCTCCCCAACTACAAACTGAATAGGCTAAAGGGATGATACCAGCTGATTTGATTAAATATTTTGATTGGTCAGAATATAGCCTGTGTTTTGTGCTGTCCATAAAATAAAGATCAAACTAATCAATAAAGAAAATAATCATTAGTTGTGGCCCATCATCTTCATGGATTACATTTGTTTTGAGAAATTGTACAGATGTGTCAAATCACAATTTGATGATGTTTTACTGGTATTCATATTTTTCCATCAGTGCTTTTTATAGAAGTTTTCACAGCAGCAGTGACCTTGTGTTGTCAGGAGCAGGAACAATGGAATAATATTTCTCTCTCTGTTTCCCAGCAGCAGGATCCTCTCTTTGGATATTTTTCAGCTATAGCTGGACAGGTAACACACCTGCACAAACGCTAAACTGTTCACCTCAGTATTACTCAGCCTGATTATACAACATGCACCAAGTTTATGAACCACAGTACCAGGCAACATTAGGGCACTGATGCTTCTCTGATTCTTAGTGCAACAGCTGATTGTTATCTGACTGTACGTTGACACTGTGCATTTCTCTTCTTCTGTTGTTTTCTGAACTGAGACAGGATGGACACATCTCAGCAGATGAGCTGCAGCGCTGCCTCACACAGGCTGGCATCACTGGCTCATACCAGCGTAAGAGCACCAGACTGTTCATTAAATATCCACTTCAAACGCAAATTCACTGAAAGCTTGAAACACATTCATATAATTAGTGTGTTCACAGTGGCACACATCTTAGTTTGAACCAGTGCTGCCTAAAATCCTGTGTAATAAATGTAAATAAAGGTTAGATTATTGAACACCAACATATTTATCAGTAGAAGAAACAGATCTGGAGAAAATGAGGCCTTGCCATGTTGGTGATGTGTTGGGGATGTCAGCATTACTTATCAAAGCTGAAGAGACTGTAATCCTGAACAAATCTATTTGAAAGGAGAACCGTTAACATGTGAATGGTGTTTTCAGATTTGTCGTGCATGTGGTCGCAGCCTGTGTGCTCACTCTGTGTGTTCTCCTGTTACAGCCTTCAACCTGGAGACCTGCAGACTGATGATCAATATGCTGGATGTATCCTTCACCTGCACCCCAGTCAACAGGTTAATGAGCATGATGGAAGCTGTTAATGATGAACTTCATGTCTGAAATGTCACCTGTTTGTCAGAGTGCAAGGATTGGTCAGGTTGCTCACAGAGTCTCAGGGTTTCCCCTTGGCATGCTTCCTATCTGATGAGCATTTCCAAAGAGTTTTGTCCTAACAGCAACATGAGCATGCAGTGATCATGTCTGAGTGTAGTGCTTTGTAAAAGGAGCATTAACTGAAGAGGCATGTGATGGATCCTTGACTGACTGCTGTCTCAGAGAGACATGTCCTGCACCATGGGTTTTCAGGAGTTCAAGGAGCTGTGGCAGGTCCTGAACGGCTGGAGGGGCACTTTTGTGTCCTACGACCGGGACGGCAGTGGGACTATAGAGGGCCAGGAGCTGGAGCACGCCATCACCTCCATGGGTACCAGCAAACTAACACAACCACCTGTAGCTTTTTATATTCACCTGTAGTTTCTCCTGAATCTCTCAAACCTGACATAAAACTGATTTAGTCTGATGAAACTCTTTGGTTTAGCAAAATGTCAGTGTAAAAACTGTGACATGGTCAGTTTTCATATATAAATGGACTGAAGCAAATGTCAGGTCATTGCTTTCTGTGCAAAATGGTAATTAATCTACTAATGGGTGTGTTCCTATACAGGTTACCATCTGAGCCCTCAGGCCAAGAACTGCATCATGAAGCGCTACAGCACCAACGGCAGGATCCGCTTTGATGACTTTGTGAGCTGCTGTGTACGACTCCGTGCTCTGACTGGTGAGAGGGCCGATGAAGGCATGAAATCAGACTAAAAAATATTAAAGTTGTCTACTGGAGCTGAGTAGCATGCATAAAAATTGGGCATTATTCCTGTGACTGATGGGTCACCTGTAGCTCACCTTGTTCATTCATTGGGTGTCTTCATGATAATGACAGAACCTGCTACCGACTGTACAGCTCCACACAACCCACAGACACAAACAGCTCCACTCTGACACCAGAAGGCTAAATCTCTGATGAACGAATGCTTGATCAGAGTTAACAGTTCAAGTATGTATTTATTCAGTAGGCTGATTTAATCTGTGTTTTCAGATCAGTTCCGAAGGAGAGACACAACCCAAACTGGCAATGCCTCATTTCACTATGATGATGTGAGTTTGCACAGCTAAGATTATTATTTTTTGTTATTTTTGTTTTCTAAAGCTTTGATGTTGCTTCAGAAACGTGCCATCAATCATGTCTGACTCCGCCACGAGACTGAACAGGAAGGCTGTTTGGTGGTAATAGCTGAATATCTAACTGAGACAGAAAACACTGTCACAGCTCCGCTCTCTGCCACAGAACACCAGGAAGATCAGCTCCAGATCGGTGTCAGTTCAGCTGATATACGGTCTGTCACTATGACAGTTGTTGTACCAGTAGGTCTCATGAAATGAAGCTAACTGTCTGATGACAGATGTCAAAACTTCAACAATAGCTGGAGAAATGTCTTTTACAAGGATGTGTAGCTTTGATTTGTGCCCTTACAGAGCGGTAGCACAAACTGCAGCCTATATTCACTGTAAAGATAAATACACAGTCATCACCTCTGCAGAGCTTTTCAGCCTTCTTTACCTCACTGCAGTTTTGTCTCTGACAAATGTGGAACTAGGCAACTGTCTGCTAATCACAACTTTATAAAGTCATAGTGTATCAGATGCTTCTTGTCTTGTTTTGCTGTCCCCAAGTTGCCAAAAGGCCTTTAATGAGGCTTTGAACGTGACACAATGGTTTTGTTTAACTTTCTTCTTTTCTTTATAGAAGATTGTGCCCTAGAAAGATGAGAAGTGACTGCTAGATGACTGAGTGTTGTACAGTGACACAGTTTATTTCTCTCTCCCTCTCTAGTTCATCCAGGTCACCATGAGCATATGAAGAAGACAAGGCTACACTGAAAGGACACAGTCCTTTGAAGCTCTTCTTATTAATGACATGACATTTCTGTATGTCTTTTCATAGTACATGTTTTTGTTAAACTTCAGTGCCATCACATTTCATTGTAACATGAAGTACTGCATATTTTACTCTCATGGGGGTTTGGTAGCCTCAGGCTGTACCTGTGACAAATAGAGCACCTGTATGATGGAGCATAGGAATATCACTCTACATTTATAGCTTTTACTGCACGAGTAACCACATTAACCCAAAGTGTTGAGCAGCACGAGTGTGAACGTATGAAATGAATAAACACCACTGTCATGTAATATCACTGATGTTTGGCTCCTGTTTACTGACTTGGACAAGGACTGGAATGTAGTTTTTTAATTTGTCTTTTAAAATCTGATAATATACAGTACATACACGGTAAACTGTAAATATACAAAAAATAAAATAGAGAGCAAAACCCTGCTCAGACTACAGAGGAGCTTTTGAGGTTGATGGTCCAGACATTTGATGGCAGAAGGTGGAAAACTGCAGTTTAATCACACAGTGTATTAAGTTTTTATCCCCAAACTTCTGATTTTATTTCTGACATTGACTGGACTGTGAATGTCTAAGTGACATGTCATCTAAATGAAATCCTACCATAGCTACTGAAACTACTCATGTTTGTGTGTGAGGTGCTAAACTTGTGTGCAGTCAGATTACTCACACTGTCCAAAACTGATGAGAATGAGAAAATACAGAAGATATAAACATTTTTTATATAGAAATATTTAAACTTTAGCATGAAGGCCTGCCTCAGAGTCCAGAGATTCACCATGTCTCCCAGGTGGTTCATCCCTAGTTTGTAGGTATGTTTGCCCTGTTCTGCCTCCTCATTGTGGACTTTAATCATATCCATGTTCTTCATCCAGATGACCCTCCAATAGTCCTTCTAAGATACCGATAGGATAGGGTTTGTAGATCAGGGATATTAGGTTTTCCAGACTTAGAGTATCTGTCTCAGTGAAGCATCTCTGAAGTAAAGCTAACTACTATACTTGCATGCCACTTGTTTGCAGCACAGAAAATCTGTGGTAAAATGGAATTAACTGGCAAAACCGAGAATTAAGAGGGTGGTTTGGCAGATGTACTGTACTTGTGATTAACTTATAAATGTCATATAAACTCAGCTTCAGGGAAATGGAATGCTTTGCAAGAAATACTTTGACAAATATAAATACATTTTTGATTAATCTATGTTCAGATAAGCAGGTTGCTAGTGAATACATTGTCTAAGAAACATTTAGTAATGTACAGAACTAGGCACTTTGCTTTTGTGAAGTTTTACTTACTGCTTGCTCACTGTTTCAGCATTGGTAGAAACTGTGGTTATGTACAGTAAAAGTCACCATAGCCACATTTAAATAAACAAACCAGCCTGTACTGTAAATACAATTAGAAAAAATACACCTGAGAGATGTAATTATTAAATATATTATACATTCACTAAAGTGGTATATATGCACATATATTAATTCAACTGGCAAGAGACACAGTATGTACCTCGGTTAAAGGTCCCTGCAGCAGGCTGCACTTACAACACAACTTCACTGTTGATTGATCTCTGTTCTGCTTCTATAAGAGAAAAAGAAACTCTTGTTTTAATCAATCAAAACAACAGCAAGGCCATCATAATAAGAGACCAGATCCCTGCTTTGCAGCAAAAATTGATTTTTAGAGGTTAATAGTGCTTTATCAGATTGGTTAGTCAATCACTAAACAGCGAGAAAATGAAATTGCAACAGTTCTGATAATCATTTCATTGAATTTAATTATAATTTTTTGATTAAACATTCAAAAGTACAAAATAAACCAATGATGAAATTGATCTTGGAAATAGGGTCAACAGTTATTCATTTTTTCAGTAGTATGATGAAGAAAGTATATAAGACTTACAAATAAGTGTTTTTATTCACATAAATTCCTTCTTTTTTATTTGAAATTATTTATCATTTAATAAACTAATTACCATTTGCCTAATTCCAGTGTGGGATCCTTCACTGAAGTGAAGTTATTGATGCTTCCTGTGTTAATTTTTACTTGTGAGAAAGAAGAAATAAAGCAAAGAAAAAACTTTTTCAGTTTAAAAAAACTGCACATTTCAACACTTTATGTTGTTAATAATTATTATAATACTAGTTAGGTGCACAGTTCTATCACATCACAGAAAGAAGGTTCCAGGTTTGAATCAGCCCAACTGGGGCCTTTCTATGTGGAGTCTGCATGTTCCCCCTGTGCCTCTGGCTACTCCTGCTTCCTCCCACAGCCCAAAGACATGCAGCTTTGGTTGACTGGTGACTCTAAATTGCCCGTAGGAGTGAATGTTGAGTGTGTGTGGTTGTTTGTCTACATATCAGCCCTGTGATAGACTGACAACCTGTCCAGGGTGGACCCCGCCTCTCGCCCAGTGTCAGCTGGGTTTGGCTCCAGCCCCCCACAGATATTCACTAAATCTGTTTTCATTGCACTTTGCTGCATTTTACTTTTCATTATACACCAACTCTTCCATCTCAGCAAAGTGTAAAAATGACATTTCAAGATGTTTTAAATTTTCAGTGTTAAATAGTAAGACTTTTCATGTTCTAACTGGTGAATGGAAACTGCTACTGCCCAGGATACCTCCATCCTGTATATACTGTACATACATTGTATTCTTTTCTATGGGTGATCTTCCACTGTTTCCACTGGGCATCGAGGGAAGCTTCATCCAGGCTAAAGCCCAGATCAGGGGCCACCAAAAGCATCACACAGACACGCAGCAACATCCTGCTGTATGTGGAAAATATAGCATGTGTAACTATATTTTAATTTGATGTACAGATAAAAGCTTAAGTGAAGGCACAGAACTTTGTGTGAAAGCAATGCTGCTTTTATTACACTACTAACATGTTTTTTTATTTCTCTCTCTTTGGTTTAACAATACTATTATTCAGTATTATTATGTTGTAGTCTAGCTGAAAAAACTAACAAACAAAGAAACATTTTATGACCCAAGTACCTTACATACGTACCATCTTCAAAAGAAATTTCTAAACATGACAGTGTTATGCCTGCTCTCTCACTGGCAGATGAAAAGGTGAAGAGTGGCTGTACTGTCCAGTGACTAAAGGAGGAGGAAGAGGTGGATAGAGGAGGTGAGGTCTGTGGCTGGAGTAGAACCGCTGAGATGATCCCGGAGAGGTGGAGACCGGCCCAGGAGAGGAGGAACCGCGGTGCACTTTGTGGCAGGAGTAGAGTGCAGAGATCGCTGAGACAAAGAATGCTCAGGGGGTGGAGCAGCAGGTGAGTACAAATCTGTTTTAAAGTGCCTTTATTTTGTATTATTATTTATCTATTTTATATTTAAATGTTGTATTGTTTGGCATTCGTTGTGGACGGCAAAGTAAGAATTTCATTGTGCAGAGAAACATGTTTCCTAACTGTACATATAACAATAAACACTTTGACTTTTGAAATGACACAAAGGTGTGAAGTTCACTGATTCACCATAAAGGCAGGAGGCAGTGACAGGCTAAAGGGAAAGTGAAACTAATTTAATATTACTGCTCTAGTAATAGTTGTGTTTTCTAAGAAATTCAATTAAATATCTATTTTGTTAATGTTTTTCAAATTTTTGATACCATACTTAAGCTTAATATTTAAAGATAAGCTAATTTCATATAGTTCACACCAGCTGCCACAGTATTATTATTGTTGCTGTTACTCTGTTGTCTCAGAATGTATTAGTCTACTAGGTATGACTTGTTACTGTAGCACATAATCTATATGCACAGTTTAACCTTAGTCTTCGTTCAAATTAATGATAATTGTTCCTTATTGTGACGTGACCAATTAGGCAGGAGAGAGAAAAAGAGAGAGAGGGGGTGGGGGGGTGGAGCAAAGTGCCACCCTCACACCTACTTTATAATAGGCTAAAACTGGTTCAGTTCATAACACCCCAGTCCTTCTGTGCATACTTTCATTCTGTTTGTCTCCAAGCAAAGGTGCATATGAAAACAAGAAAAGTAAGTGTATCAAACATTTTACAGTGTTTAATACTTAGGCTATAAAGTTTCTATATTTTAGCTTTTACAGGCGAGGCTGTTAATGTTATTGTTGTTATACTGCGCCCCTTTCCTCGCATATAAAATGCAGAACTCGCACTTCTGTGTAATAATTGTGTAGCTATGACCAAGTAGATATAAGAAATAAAAGAAAAAAGGACTGGTACTGAGCATATTAACAGCTGGTGGTAATCTGGGGGTAAGAAACAGGTGTGAAGGAAAACGTAATCAGGGTAAGGGAGTGAAAACAGAGTGAGGGGAGTGAGAAAGTAGGTGCAGCCGGGCAAACCTGACAAATATCAAGTTTTCCTGTAAACTGGGCAGATTCATCTGCTGTTATTAAGATGTATCACATGATCTGGGGCTGCTCCCTCACATCAGAATCAGCTTTACCGTCCGGGTGTGTTGGGCACAGAAAGAATTTATTTGACTCTGGTACAATGGCTCTCCGTGTGTATGTACAATGTTCTTCTGTAAAGCAACAAGACAAGTAAACACATTAAGACTGAGAGAACAAAAAAGAAAAAACAAAAAAGCTAAAGAAATGTGCATTAGGAAAATAAAAATAAAGTACTTATAAATATAGCAAAATATAGACAAACACTTTAGTTGGAGTTTTTAGATACTTATATAGAAAGGCATGTTTACAGGTTGTCATTCTGTTCTACAGTCATGGCTTTAGTGTTGATCAGAGCAACAGCCCAGGGGAAGAAACCATCCTTGTGCCTGGTTGTCTTGTCAAACAACATTCCTTTTCTAGTTAAAGCAGAACCTCTTGCTAACATGAGTGACTGAACCTTGCAATGAATCAGTCCAGCTAACACAGCTTGTTGGGTCTGTTTATGTAAAGGTCTGAATTCCACTATGAGTCAGTCTGAGGAGAAAGATGGAAGAAGGGAGGGAGTCCAGACCCCCAACGGCGCTCTGTCTGTGGAACAGGATGGCCAGACAGAAGCTGAGAAGTAAGATGAAGAGCTCTGACTGTCCACGTTGAAGTTCAGTGTGAAATCAGTACAGTTATGATTCACAGCAGTTTGTGCTGAAGCCCAGTTATTGAGGGAAGAGTGAGTCTTACTCATTCAGATTCTTGTGCTGTTGATTCAAACCATTCAGATTTTTGTACAATATACTTGTTTAATAAACTCTTTATTCAAAACTTTGTTTCCAGCAGGACTCAGCAGCAGAAACCAGAGTCTCCTATTTTAAAAGGACAACGAACTTCTGAAACAAGGTGTGT